AAGAGTGACCGGTGTATACGAGTTCAAGTGGAGTGTCTGACTCATCCGGCAGAACGTATCGTAGAAGTCGTGCACGAGGTGGAAACTGCGAAATCTATTTGTTGACCAGCTCCGAGTGCACCAGCTGGACCCAATCGAGAGATTTCTCGTGATACTCGGGTCATTGCCATCCCTGTTGGCCATCGCTTTATTGCCGCTGGCTGTTGACTTTGGCCCTGGACGACCACACTGGAACAAATCATCGTAAAGACGGCGACGCACGGTTATCAGTTTCATCTGATTCCGAACGCAACCGCGTAAAACGTGACTCGGATTCGCGAACGCCGCCGTCGAACCACCGGCCTTCGGCCGTTGCTATGGTAAGACACTGTATGAAGAAATTAACTAGGATATCTTACGAAATTCGGAATCTTACTAAAATTTCTATATTTTTAATTTCAATGTAAATTTTGTAATTTTTTAAATTTGTAAGTTTGTAAGTTTAGACTCTGGTGCGAATTACTGGAAGATTAAGTTGGTTTTTCTAGGTTCTAAGATTATTTGAAGTACTTATTTTCTTTTATCTACCAACTTTCAGAATATAATTCATAATCTCAGAATAGAATTTTTATTGCAATATTTGTATGAATTATAAATGAGTAATGTGTGGAATTCGGGGTTGCTCGAGGCACACTTGGAGCGTTAAGGGTTAAATTTGTAATTCGAAAATTCCCAAATTTCTTCATCCCTACATTCTGAAATTTCCAAATCCTAATATTCCCATAGGGAACTCTCCAAATTTCCTAATTTCCCAAATTCTCAAACTCCCAAACTTCTACATCTCCAAATTCTCAAACCCATAAATTTCCACATGCCCAAATTTTCAAACTCCCAAATTTCTACTTCCCCAAATTCTCAAACCCCCAAATTTCCACGTCCCCAAATTTCCAAACCACCAAATCTTAAAACCCCTCAAATTTGTAAAATCTTATACTTAAAAATCCCCTAATTTCGCCATTTCCAAAATTCTCACAGCCCTAAATTTCTTCATCCCTAAATTTGAAACCCCCAAATTTCCACGTCCCCAAATTTCCAAACCACCAAATCTTAAAACCCCCCAAATTTGTAAAATCTTATACTTCAAAAATCCCCTAATTTCGTAATTTCCAAAATTCTCACAGCCCTAAATTTCTATATCCCCAAATTCTCAAACCCCCAAATTTCCACATCCCCAAATTTCCAAACCATCAAATCTTAAAACCCCCAAAATTTGTAAAATCTTATACTTCAAAAATTCCCTAATTTCGTAATTTCCAAAATTCTCACAGCCCTAAATTTCTACATCCCCAACTTCTCAAATCCAAAATCCAAAATAAATTCAAAAGAACATAAGCTCAAATTTTCCTTTCCAATTTTTCCCTATTTCTTCTCAGCTCAGAAGACGTTTCCCTAGGGAATCGTATAACGTACGATGTCGTAAGAAACAGATCGAACGACTCGGGGTCGTAGAAGTAGGCGAAGGTAAAATTTTCGCTTTCTTCGAGTCACTCTTACTCGCTCGCGTTTAGTGCCTTTCTCGAAACGCGTTTGCCTTCGCTGACACGCTTTGGACGGTATAATAATCGTAAAACGATCGGCGTGAAAGCACACCGATGATTTGTTCGCCTGTATAATCTCATATCGTTTACCTACGGTTACGTAAGGCGAGATGAAAACTCGTTACATGTGGTAATTCAATGGATTGTGCAACTTTCCTGTCCACTTCCTTTCCTGAAAAAAGTAGTTCCTCTCTATGGTAATGCAATTGCGGACTGTTTTATCGGACAACTGAATATTTTTATACGAAGGTGTGTACTATGGGTTTGTTTTTTAGGGCTGGTGTGTTGGAAATGAAATTTGTTATGGGGGACTATTTTGATAATTGAGGAATTGTGTGTTAAGAGTTGTGTGAAAGGCAATTTGGAGATTTTGGGAGTTTGGGTTCTTGGAAGCTTGAGAATTTGGTGATTTGGGGATTTGGAAATTGGGGATTTGGAGATGTGGAAAATTTGGGGATTTAGGAGACTAGGGATTTAGGTGATTTGGGGAGTTAGAATTTGAGTATTTGGAATTTAGTGATTTGGTCACTTTGGAAGATCTAGAATTTGGGGATTTGGTGATTTGGGAAATTTGGAAAATTGGGAATTTGATAATTTGGGAATTTGGGAATTTGGGAAATTGGAAAATTGGGAATTTGGGAATTTGAGAAATTGAGAATTTGAGAATTTGGGAATTTGGAAAATTGAGAAATTGGGAATTTGGGAAATTGGGAATTTGAGAAAATGGGAATTTGGGAAATTGGGAATTTGGGAAATTGGGAATTTGAGAAATTGGGAATTTGAGAAATTGGGAATTTGGGAAATTGGGAATTTGGGAAATTGGGAATTTGAGAATTTGGAAAATTGGGAATTTGGGAAATTGGGAATTTGAGAAAATGGGAATTTGGGAATTTTGGAATTTGTGAAATTGGAAATTTAGAAATTTGGAAAATTGGGAATTTGGGAATTTGGGAAATTGGGAATTTGAGAAATTGGGAATTTGAGAATTTGGAAAATTGGGAAATTTTGAATTTGGGAAATTGGGAATTTGAGAATTATAGAAATTTGTGGATTTGAGAATTTGGTGATTATGAAATTTGAGAAATGTAACAATTTAAGAATTATTAAATTTGTAGTTTTGGGAATTTGATTATCTGGAATTTAGTGATTTGGGCACTTCCAGAGATTTAGACTTTGTTGATTTGTGAAATCTATTAATTTGGAAATTGTTAAATTTGTAGATATAAGAATTTAAGAATTTATGAATTTAGAATTTGATAAATTTTTGAAATTTTTGAAATTTCGTAATTTACAGATACAGTAATTTACGTCATTTAAAAACTTGATAACTTAAAAAATTCATAAATTTCCAAACTGTAAAATTGCAAACCCAAAAAATTAAAAAATTCCAAATTAGTAAAATTTATGAAATCTACAAATTCACCCACAAAAAATTTAAAATATCAATCACCTAAAACCTCCCGCACTCCTCGCATTCCCAGAACATAAAATCCCAAATTTGACCCAAACCTCGCCGAAAGGCTAAAGAGCACAGTGTGTAAGTAACAAATGACGTCAGCGATTCCCACAAAGAACTAAGCTATTCGCTACGCCAATCTTCGGCCCTGAATGAGATCGTTCAAGATTTAAATCTCCGCACCTGGCCCATGTTAGGAACACGGATTAGTCCCAAAAGGTTTGTACCTTCGTTCCAGGTAGAGAGATCTGACTGATAAATTTTGAAGGCTTGCTCTAGAAACGAGCAGGAATACCGGAAACATCTTATTTCCATGAGAGAATCTTTCCTCCTTACTTTTTGCGTCTTTTTCCTTTATTTCTTCCTTGTTAGTGTCTCAAAGAAGAGGATGTCTTGTAATATTATGCTTAAGTAACTTAAACCTCAACCGGTAGGCTGGGGTTAAACTGAACGGTGTTATGTACTTTGGGACGTATCTGATTTCTGGTGAGTTTTACACGTGAAATTTTTAGTTTATATTATCTTGTTTTGAGACGGGATAAAAATTTCTTGGGAGACTTGTGGGAGTTTTATTTTGGAGTGATTTTGGGGGCGAGATAGGAAATGTGGTAGAAGTTTAGATATTTTAGGGATTTTTGGATTGTATATTCTAGGGATTTTTGGGTAGTATATTCTAGGGACTTTTGGGGTGTACATTCTAGGAAATTTTTGGGTATAATTCTAGGAAATTTTGGGGTATATATACTTGGGGATTTTGGGTATACATTCTAGGGACTTTTGGAGTACACATGGGATTTTTGGGCTATATATTCTAGGAACTTTTGGGGTATATACACTGGGGATTTTTGGGCTATGATATATTCTAGGGATTTTTGGGCTATATATTCTAGGGACTTTTGGGCTATATATTCTAGGGACTTGGGGTGTATATATTAGGTACTTTTGGGGAGATTTATAGGTTGATGTGACAAGGATAGGGTAGTTTTGGAAATTTGGAATTTGCAAATTAAGAAATTTTGAAATTCTGGGATTTTTAAGGTTGAAGAGTTTTCAAATTAGATTTGGTAATTTGATAATTTGGGTATTTGGGAATTTAGGGGGTTCCAAATCCCTAGGGAATTAGAGTGTAATTTAGGAACTTCAGGATTTTTGAAGATTTTGAAATTGTGGGATTTGGAAAATTGAGAATTTAAACTTTAAGAATTTGGGAACGTGCTAATTTGATAATGTATTTGACAATTTAAAAATTTTTGAATTTGACAATTTTAAAACTTGAGAATTTGACAATTCGAAAATTTCAAAATTCGGGAATTTGACAATTTGAAAATTTTGAAATTTGTCAATTTGGAGATTTGAAAATTTGGAAACTTAACAATTTGGAAATTTGGCAATTTGGAAATTTGACAATTTGGAAATTTGTCAATTTGGAAATTTGACAATTTGGAAATTTGACAACTTGGAAATTTGATAATTTGGAAATTCGACAATTTGGAAATTTGACAACTTGACAACTTGACAATTTGACAATTTGACAATTTGACAATTTGACAATTTAACAATTTAACAATTTGAAAATTTGAAGTCTTGACATTTAAAAATTTAATATCTCGAATTTTTTTCAATTTTGTATATTTGGAAACTTGAAGATATGGAACTTGAGACCGTCAGTATTGCTAATATCAGAATTCCTAAAATATAGAATTTGGAAATCTTCTACCATAAAATCACACATTTCCAAATATACCATCAATCATACTAATTACCTATTCCATCACGTACCTAAAATTGTCCCATCAAATCCAATCCCAAAACCCTATAACCACATCTAAAAATTCAGCACCAAATCCTCCCAACACGCCATCTCATCTACCAAAACTCCCGCGTGTGAATCGAAGAGAAAATCCTTCCAAAGTATGTGCACATCTGGCGACCGAGCCAAAAGTTGCGAATGCGTCCCTGACCCTTACCTGATCGACTTCTTTTCACCCATGGGGCCACCATAGCACCCTGTCCCTCTGCTCTCTACCACGAAGCAACCTGCCGTTGGCTTCGTATCTCTCCAGCATCCTCTTGGGTCTCTGTTCTTTTTCTATTCTCGAAGATCGCGTCTGCTCCTCGTCCGTAGTCCGGCTCGAGAGTTACATCCGTCTCTTTTTCCTTGGTGCAGCAGCAGAACGAGCATGGAAGGGGCCAGAGGCTGAAGGAGAAGGAGAAGAACCAGTCGTGAACCAGAACCGTCGGTCCTCAGAATCTCCCAGTCACCTCTTCGAGTCTGTGCGGGGACCAGCGCGTGGATTTGTACCGATCGTACGCGTACGCTCGATTTTTCCCGCTCTTGATCGCGCGGCAACGATCCGGACAGCCAGGATGACGCCGAGGACGCGGACCAAGGATACGCAGAGTCCACCGATCGGTATGTCTTCGATGTTTCTTTTGATCGATGAATTACACTCCATTGATGGATAACACTCGTTAACGTGGGTCGTGGAATATACAGATGTTTATTGCCGGGTCTGTTGGCACGACTGATTTCGAGATCGATGTCGGGGTTTAAAATTGGATTGATCTATTAGCGTCTGGTAGCGGGGAGAGTGAGGATTTATACTTTATAATTTTGGAATTTTATAGCTTTGTGTATGGTTTGCCTCTAGGATTTGGCAGAGATTTGGACGAGTAGAATAGTATTCGATTTATGAAGCAGTGAAATTTGTGGACTTTGAAATTTTTGTTGTTGTGGGATTTCAGAGAATTATAGAATTTCGTAGGTGTAATATTTTGAAATTGTAGAATAGCGCAATGCAAATATTTGAAAGTTGTGAAATTCCATAGGTAAAAGGATTTAAAAGTTATAGAGTTATATAGTTTAGAATATTTTTGAGTTATAGAGTTTTATAGTTTGAAATTGGTCTATAGAATTCTATAACCTTGAAATTTTTTAAGTTATACAATATTCTATAGTTCTAAAGTTTTGAAGATATAGAATTCCATAGTTCAAAATTTGGGTAACTTTAAAATTCATAGGCTCCATTCTGAAGCTCTAAAAATTTGAGAGCAGTAAAATTTTATAGTTTCAGAATTTTAACACCATTCAGAATTCCAAAACTCTAAAATTCAATAACTCTCGAATTTTAAAGCTCTAAAATTTTAGAGCTGTAAAGTTCTGAAATTCTAGAATTCAAAAGCTCTAAAATTTCATAGCTATAAAATTTGAAAGCTCTGAAATTTGCAAGCTATAGAATTATATTGTTCCAATATTATAGAGCAGTTGAATTCTTTAAAATTTGACAACTGCAGAATTCCAATACTGGAATTTTAAAGTTCCAGAATTCAATAGCTTTAGAATTTCAAATGCTCTAATATTTCATAGTTTTAGAAATGCAAAGCTTTAGAATTGCAAAGTTCTAAAATTTTAATCCTCTAGAATTTCAAAGCTCTAAAATTTCAAGCTTCCAGAATTCTAAAGCTCTAAACTTCCAACCTTTCTGAATTTCAATTCTTTCAAATTCCAATCCTTCCAAAGTCTAAAACTCTAAAATTTCAACTCTCTAGAATTCCAAAGTTCTAAACTTCCAACCCTCCAGAATTTCAATTCTTTAAAATTCCAGTCTTTCCAAATGCTAAAATTCTAAAATTTCAACTCTCTAGAATTCCAAAGCTCTAAACTTCCAACCCTCCAGAATTTTAATTCTCTAAAATTCCAGACCTTCTAAATTCTAAAACTCTATAATTTCAACCCTCTAGAATTCTAAAACTCTAAACTTCCAACGCTCTAGAATTCTAAATCTCTAAACTTCCAACCCTCTAGAATTTTAAATCTCTAAAATTCCAACTCTCTCAAATTCTAAATCTCTCAACTTCCAATCCTCTAGAATTTTAAATCTCTAAAATTCCAACTCTCTCAAATTCTAAATCTCTGAACTTCCAACCCTCTAGAATTCTAAATCTCTAAATTTCCAACCCTCTAGAATTTTAAATCTCTAAAATTCCAACCCTCTAAAATTCCAAATCTCTAAACTTCCATCCCTCTAAAATTTCAATTCTCCCAAATTCTAAAACTCTAAAATTTCAACCCTCCACAATTCTACATCTCTAAACTTCTCTCCAAAATTCTAAACCTTCCAGTCCTCCAATCATTCAAATCTTCCAATCTAAATCTCTTTCAATTCCAAATCTCTAAAATGTCAACCCACTCAAATTCCAAAGCTCTAAAATTCCATAACGTTAAAATTAAAGAAATTTGAAAGTTTGCAAAGAAATATGAATAAATCAAAATGTCCAGAGTGTCATGACATTGGCAGTTGTACGAAAAACCGGTACAAATAGATGTTTCCGGTTGCGATTCGTTATGCAAGTCTATTAGAGCATTTGTGATCCGTTTTCATTGGTATGTTATGCGCGATCGACTACTTTTTGCGTCGCGAAACTCGTTTCTCTGCGCGGGACAGAGTCCGCATCAGGGATCTCTACTGAACGTGTCTGATAAGTTGGCAGTTGTACCGATAGGATCTACGTTTATATCGCCTGCCAACTTTCGAGGCGCACAGGACATATACATATTCTTAGTGAGGTTTTGTTTTATTGGTCAAAATTGATTGGTATTCTACAAATTTTATTGATCATATTTTATGATTTGTTAAGGTAATAAATTGTCAAGAAAATAAAGCAATAAAATGTGTGAAGTATGAAGTCATAAATTATCAAAAATGTGAAATAATAAATTACCAAAAATATGAAGCAATAAATTATTGAAAAAATGAAGTAATAAATTGTTAAAAGTTTAAGAAATAAATTGTCAAAAATGTAAAACAATATATTATAAAAAATATGAAGCAATAAATTATTACAAAATTGAAGAAATAAATTGTTAATAAAAGTGAAGTAATAAAATGTCAAAAAAAATGAAGTAGTAAATTGTCAAAAAAAATGAAGTAGTAAATTGTCAAAAAAAATGAAGTAGTAAATTGTCAAAAAAAATGAAGCAATAAATTGTCAAGAAAAATGAAGTCATAAATTGTCAAAACTTTAAGAAATAAATTGTTAAAAATGTAAAGCAATAAATTGTCAAAAATGTGAAGTAATAAATTTTGCAAAATACAAAGTCATAAATTTAAAAAAATTTCCAAAATGCATAAAAGTTGGAAACTAAAATAATTCATAACAGCCACATAATTCTTGTACAGAAATATTTAGAAAATAAAACGAATATTGAAATAAAAAGCAATACTAAATGTATAATATATTAAAGTATAATATATTAAAAATTAATATATTAAATATGTAATATTGTGTATATGTGTATTATCAAAATTAGTATAATAACAAACATTTAGCTACATATTTGTAAAATAAAAAGAACATATGTGCACGTATATCTGTAATCTGGTTATGACTTCACGCTGACTGACTACATTTATCTCTCTAATTTCTCCGATATTAAATTCATGAATGAAAATATGATTGCATTGAATCATCGATTGTCCCATTGTGAGATACTAGTATTGTTGTCCTAATTGTGATCGAACAAGAGCCACGAGTGCTCTCATGGAATTAGAAATTCGGTCGTAAAACGTGTAGGTGACTTTCTACTTGTCATTGACTCGATGTAAATGTTCGTCGAAGGACAATAGCGTGGTAGAGCGTGGGTCATGTAGGCATAATGAATTTTTATCTGAGGTTTCGAGTTAACGATAATATTTTTGTTGTTAATACTGGTTAGAGAAGGAGGGAAGATAATTAGTAGACAATTAACCTATTGTCTTCTAATGACACACGAGTCAGTCGCGTTTAAAACACATATTACATAGCTTCATCTTATAAAGGTGTTTTAGAGCTGTGTAATTTTCAAGTTGTAAAGTTTCAAAGATTTAAAGTAGCTGTGGAATTTCGAAGCCTTAGAGTTTAAAACTGTAGAATTCTATTGCTCTAAAATTGCAAATATTTGGGTATTCGCTGCTATGGAATTTTGAAGAGGAAGAGTTTCACAGCTGTAGAATTCCACTGCTCTAGAATTATAAATCTTGAGAATTTCATTGCTCTAGAAATTCAAAGGTTCAAGGTTTCAAAGCTATAGAATTTCATTGCTCTAGAATTCCATTGTTCCAAAATTCCATTACTCTGAAATATGAAAGATTCAAGGTTTCAAAGCCTCAGAATTCCATTACTCTAAAATATTAAAGGTACAAGGTTTCAAAGCTCAAGAATTTCATAACTTTATAACTTCAATCCTTCAGAATTCCATGGCTCTATAGTCTCAAATCTTCAGAATTCCATTACTCTAAAATATGAAAGGTACAAGGTTTCAAAGCTCAAGAATTCCATAACTTTATAACTTCAATCCTTCAGAATTCCATTGCTCTACAATTGGAAAGTTTCAGGATTTCAAAGCTCCAGAATTCCACTGCTCTAGACTTTCAACCCTCCAGAATTCCATTACTCTAAAATATCAGGAGTACAAGGTTTCAAAGCTCAAGAATTCCATTACTCTAGAAATTTAAAGCTTCAAGGTTTCAAAGCTCCAGAATTTCACTGCTCTAAAGATTGGACCCTTCTGAATTCCATTATTCTGAAATATCAAAGGTACAAAGCTCAAGAATTCCATAACTCTATAATCTCAACAATTCAGAATTCCATTGTTTTATAATATTAGACGTTCAAACTGTTAAAGCTTAAGAATTCTATAGCTCTAAAATTTCAAACCTCCAGAATTCCACTGCTCTAGAATGTTGAAATTTCATGGTTTCAAAGCTTCAGAATTTCATAACTCTACAAATTCAACTCTTCAGAATTGCGTTGCTCTAAAATATCAAAGGATTAAGGTTTCTAGCTTAACAGTTCTATAACTTCAACCCTCTAGAATTTTAAAACTTCATGATTTCAAAGATCCAATATTTCATAGCTGTATACATCGAAACCTCCAAAATTCCACTGCTCTAGAAATCCAAAACTTCATGGTTCAACAGCCTCCGAATTCTCTAGCTCTATCATTTCAAACCATCAGAATTCCATTACTTAAACAATCAAAACTTCTACATTTCAACTCAAAAAAAATTCCACAGCTCTAAAATCCTACTCTAAAATACAACTAAAATTTCATAACACAAGCACTTCAAACCTCCACCGATACAAACACCAATAAATTCTCCTCCGCGTTGTCCTTCAAACTATTA